TCCTGATAGTAAAGAATTACAATAGTCCAGCCTTGAAGTAACAAATGCATGGACTAGTTTCTCAGCATCACCCCTGGACAGGATGTTTCTCATTTTTGAAATATTCTGCAGATGAAATAATGAAATTCTAGAACCTTTTTGATGTGGGATTTAAATGACAGGTCCTGATCCAAAATGACACCAATATTTTTTTCTTTATTATCTGAAATATGTTTAATCCCATCCAAATGAAGTGACTGGCTAATCAGCTTATTTTTCAAACACTCTGGTCCAAAGACTATAACTTTTTTGTCTGCATTCAGGAGCAGAAAGATAAGAGTCATCCAGTTTTTTGTGTCTTCAAGACATGACTATAATCTATGTAATGGATTACCTTCATCTGGATTTATAGACAGATATAGCTGGGTATCATCAGCATAACAGTGAAAATTAATCCCATGCTTTCTAATAATTCTACCGATTGGGAGCATATATAAAGTAAAGAGATTTGGTCCTAGCACTGATCCCTGTGGTACTCCTCAGGTGGAGCATGAGGAAGATTTGTCATTAAACTGAACAAACTGAAATAGATCAGATAGATAAGATTTAAACCAGTCTAGAGCTGTTCCTTTAATTGCTACAAAATATTCAAGTCTTTCTAAAAGAATATTATGATTAACTGTATCAAATGCAGCACTGAGATCTAACAGGATAAGTACAGATACAAGTCCATTATCTGAGGCCATGAGAATATCATTAGTGACTTTCACCAGAGCTGTTTCAGTGCTATGATGAGCTCTAAAGTCAGAATGAAACTCTTCAAAATGTTCATTATGATGTAAGTGGTCGCACACTTGTTTGGCAACTACTTTCTCAAGAATTTAGATAAGAAAGGAAGATTGGATATAGGTCTATAATTGACCAAGTCATCTGGGTCAAGAGACAGTTTCTTAAGTAGAGGTTTAATTACAGCAACCTTAAAAGCCTTAGGTACATGTCCCTGTAACAGAGATAGATTCATCACATCTAAAATGGAGGACGAGATCAAAGGCAATACTTCCTTAAATAACCTGGTTGGAACTGGATCTAACATACAAGTTGAAGGCTTAGATGAAGACAATAATTTGCTAACTCTGAAAGTTTAACTGGATCAAAGCAGTCTAAACCTGGTTCAGATTCTATGGCTACCTCAGATGCTGCCTCACCTTCCAGAGATAAACCAATGTCAGCTTTAGTGTCCTCCTGAATTATACCTGTTCAAAGACATAAACCTTTAAATTTATAAAAGTAAATGAAAAATAAAAAGATAAAGTGGATAAGATGCATCCAACTGAAGCTTACACAATGCAAGGGTGGTATGATTAAAAAGAGCAAAAATATTTACTTTTAATCCTTTTATTTGTTTTAAATTCTTATGTTTTATAAATTGTTATAAATTTTTTTTTGTTCAGCACTTTGGTCATTGCTTGCTGTTTAAAAAGTGCTTTATAGATAAAAGTTTGCAGGTTGGGACTCGGTTAATTGGCTATGTTGACATCTGTCTTCAGATGTGTCTTCTTGAATAAAATGCATCCATGTTTATTAAAGATATCTGTAAAATCCTTTCAGAGCAGTTAAATCCTTGCTATAAAACTTCCACAGCTAAGCTACTGTCTACCGTTGATATCTCCCAACCAAGATACCTAATTGACTGTAACTGATGGATTATAAAAAGAAAACTGATCTATAGAAACTCTACCCAACTATCCACAGTACTCGGAGAGTTTTCTCTTTCTACAACAACCACATCCTGCATGTCCTGTTTCCTGAATAGTTAGAGTTCATTCTGCCGCATGGGAAGGCCCCTCTGTAATTCTACAGTATGTAATGTCATGTTTGTATTCATAACAAGGTTTATCTCTATAATAGAGACATCTGTTTGTACTATGCTGCACCACAAACATCCTGCTCTGCAGACTGAGCTGTTTAGCTACATAAAATGTGTCTGTTTGTTGTCTCTGTCAGATATGACGGGAACAGGCTGTGAGTATGACGGTGTGCTCTACCGAAACGGTCAGAGCTTCAAGCCCAGCTGTAAATACCAGTGTGTGTGCGTGAACGGCGCCATCGGCTGTGTGTCCCAATGCTCAGAGTCCCAGCCACCCAGAGTTTGGTGCCAGAGCCCACGGAGAGTCAAAATTCGGGGGCAGTGCTGTGAACAGTGGATCTGTGATGAACCAAGGAGAGGGCGGAAGACAGCACCAAGGCACGCAGTTGAGGGTAGGACACGTTTAGGATAGAGGCAGGCCAATAATCATTTAGTTGTTTGTTTAAATGTTTCAGAGGTACAACCTTTTTTAAAACTACATTTTTAAGTTTGTTAAGTTTACATTTTTTATTTTTTTAAGTTTAAACCAATATCGTTTCCCACCCTATTTTGAATATGTAAAAAAATATATCAAATTGGATTTAACCATATTTGTAGGTGTGGATCAATCTGTAAAGGCAAAGGGATTGTGGGAACTGTTTATTTACTACCTAAAATATTTTTTTATGATCTAAAGGTAAATTTAAAAAGGTATCACAAAAAGGTAATGCATTTAAATTATGAGTGTAAAAAGTGAAATATCTATCTATCTATCTATCTATCTATCTATCTATCTATCTATCTATCTATCTATCTATGTTTTTTTTCCACAGAGTTGGGGTATAATGTTAGCATTTCTATTCAATACATGATTTTAATAGATTATAGTCATAAAAAGTTCATTAAACAGCCAAAAAGCCACTTTAAAATGCCTTGTAAGACTATAAATGTTATACTATGCCCTACATAGTCCTTTAAATCAGTGTTTCCCAACCTTTTTTGACTTATACACCACTTTGGGAATTATGTCTTACCATGAGTACCCTATCAGCCCACCCCCCACCCAGTCAAAAGTATTGATGATTGTCCAAAAGTGGAACGTACAAAAACTGATTATGAAATAAAACCTATTGTACTCCATCCATCTGCTTAGTCCTGTCAGGCTCACGTGTGGCTGGTGCCTATCTCCAGCAGGCTATTGGCGCGAGGCGGGGTACACCCTGGACAGGTCGCCAGTCAGTCACAGAGCAACAGAGAGACACACAAAGACACACAACCTATCACACACACACTCACATCTAAGGACAATTAAAGAAGCCAATTAACCTAACAGTCATGTTTTTGGACTGTGGGAGTAAGCCGGAGTACCCAGAGAGAACCCACTCAGTGAGTAGAGTGTGAATTGAACCCGGAACCTTTTTGCTACAAGGCAACAATGCTACCCACTGCATCAGTGTGCAGTCCAAACTTTTACTTAATCTTTTAATTTGAGCATTTAATTCTAAGGTATTTTATGCTTTCCATCTTTCCCTCAAATTGAAAAAAGCTACATAAATATGTTGCCTGGATGTTCTAAATAAACACAAAATGAAATCTCATTATAAACCTGTATTTGTAAAACTGGATCTCCTCTGAATAACTCCCTTATAATCACATTTACACTTGATGAATTGGAAACAAAATACAGATCAAAAATGATAGTCAGACTGACTTAATTTATTTTTACTTTTTTTTCATCAAGACACCTCAGCTCCTTTGATGAGCTCCGATAGATCAGTGTGGAAAAACAGCAGCTACCAGGCTTGTCTCTACATCCAGTCTGTTCCTCTGCTTGGTTTGGATGTGTATCAAAGCTGGAGGTGAAATCAAAGATATAAGAAAAACGTATTTTTGGTTGATAAAAGCTTGGTTCATTTTTTAATTGGGTCATCACAAAGCAAAACAGACCCCAGCTCTATTTTATTTTAATACTTACGAAATAAAATATTTTCATGTACCCCTTGCATTCGCTGACCACTAGGGGTACGAGTACCCCCAGTTGGGAATCACTGATTTAAATGATAGTTATATGTTATCAGGGTTAATGTCAAAAGTTCATTAATAAAGAAGCTGCCACTTCACAGATTACCACGTTCAAAAATAATACACTATGGCAACAATGGGTAAATGTGGTACGCTTTCTGTATGAAGGAGAAAAGACTAGATAAAGTTCACTGCAGCAACTTTAATCCAGGAGAAAGAAACACAGCCATGCACACATAAAGCCTGGGCATACTTCTATGACAGTGACAGAGAAGAGAAATCAATGAAGGGCAACAATAACAGTTTCATTAGGAAAGTTTCTACCACTGTATATCTAAGACAGGTGTTACAGATTAAACCCAGACGATTCAGGGAACTGACCGGACGGTTAAAAACTTTGAACTTGTCTAAATCAGTCATTAACTTCATTTTGGTAAATGGTTAACAAGTCAAGGTCATATTGAATGATGACGTGAGATTTTATGGTGACTTTTTATTAGAATTTATTCAGAAAAATCAAGTTCTAACATTACATTTCAAAGTATTTCATATAGATGTGCAACATAATTCCTCACTTCCTGTTTATGTCAATCTAGTTTTCCCAACTGAGAGCAGGAGCTGGCACAAGAACTGCATCACTCAGACCACTTCATGGAGCCCCTGCTCTAAAACCTGCGGTCGTGGCCTTTCATTGAGGATCTCCAATGCAAATGATCAATGTGAGCTCATCCAGGAGACCCGCTTGTGCAATCTGAGGCCATGTGAGGCAGACATAATCCAACATATCAAGGTACACACATGAACCTTTAGTGTCATAAAGTTTTCTGACATTAGATTCTAAATGCTACTCTTATTCTTTAGCCAGGAAAAAAGTGTTTGAATATCTACAGGGAGGAGCAGTCCTCAAACCTCACTATTTCTGGCTGCACCAGCAAGAAGCAGTACCGGCCCAAATACTGTGGCGTTTGCACAGACGAGCGCTGCTGCATCCCGTACAAGTCGAAGACGGTCGACGTGGAGTTCGAGTGTCCAAACGGGACCGGGTTCACCTGGAAGATGATGTGGATCCAGGCTTGCTTCTGCAACCTCAGCTGCAGAAATCCCAATGACATCTTTGCAGAGCTGGAGAACTACTATGGTTACCCGGAGGTCATGAGCTAAAATGAAGCATAATAGCAAATAAGGCTTGGGTTTTTTATTCTGTTTTAGAGAAACTTTGCATTATTAATGTGCAAGGTATTTTTTTATTATTGGAAAATTGTAAATATGGAATATGTCTCTAAGATGCATTCATGTAGTGAGAATATTTGAAGAGGTAATAAAAAAGCCTATATTTAAAGTTTAATTTATTCTTTTTATATTTTCTGCTTGGCAGCATGTTTTGCTTTTAACTATCTTGGATTGTTCCCTGCTTTAAAGCAACAGTACATACTTTCCTTAGTATCAATATCTACTGCCTTGCTTATTTAAGCCTCTTTAATTGTGTCACGTTTTGACAGGATACAAGAGCAAATTCTGTTGTATCTACTGTGAATGTATATCAATGATTGGAAAGAAAATTTTTTATTTAAAATCTATTAATTGCATATGAAAATGTGTATGTGTATTCACTTCCCCAACTCAATATTTTTTAGAATCTAAACCTGTTTTATACAATCCTTGCAAATATGAAGATGTATTTTGTCATTTGTTTTACTAAACACCTAAAGCTCAGTCTGTTGGTTGGACAACATCTGATTATCAACTAGATAATCTTAGGCTCGGCTGTCCTGATACATGAATATATGTTTTAATCTAAACTCCACCGCTGTTTACAGTCATCATCCAGCTTGTAGATAAACCTTTGCCTAATGCTTCAGTGTTTTGAACATTAACCCATTTCCTTCAAGGATGATCCTTAATTTAGCTCTACTCATCTACCAGTTATTCCTGCTATATGAAGTATCACAACATAATACTGCCACTACTGTGTAAATGAAGGCTAAGTTTAGACATAGTGTTATTGTCCTCCCTGCACACAGGGTTCTAAATGTTGGTCAGACATCCCCATATTGTTTGCAGCAACAAGCAAACTGAGCAGTTCCTTTAACAGGAACTCCCTACTAACCACTCTCTTCCTGGTCAGATTTGTAGAGTCCTTGACAAATAACTGGCATGTAAGTTTAGGAGGACACCCATGCGATTGCAGGCTTGCTGCTGTGCGACTTCCATTTTTTTTTAGATAGCGTTTGAAAAGTAATCTGCAAGTGCTTAAAGCATAGGATGCCGCCGGGTTGTTTCAACCAACCCCACTTTAAATTAATTTGAACTTTAGCTGTGTTTGGTTTCCATAAAGCATTTGCTCAAAAGTCTCAAACAGGTTATGTTGCAGTTTTTCTTTTACATAAATTGCATTAAACTTAAGTTCTATTAAAAGCTAATTTGGGTGTGAATATCCTTGCAATGAAGACAGTCACCTTTTGCAGTTTCTAGTTTAAAATAGAGCAGATTGAAGTCTATAGTTACATGCATTCATCACAGAAAGAAAAAGGAGTCAGTTACAAGATTGTTTTTTTGTCATTTTTTAATAAATACAAACTGTTATGTCATTTTAATGCTATATTTTTCCTCTACAGCAATAGATGGTTTGAATTGCATCTTTACAAAGCTGCATTTACATCACTGCAAAGTATAATGTTGCTGTAGTGCAAGTAAAATACAGGAAATGGTATCGGGTAAGTTCTATGGCTATCCTCATGTTAACATGTGGACCTCTCCATCTGCACTCACCCAACAAATTCAAAACCACATTGGACCATCACATCTTAGAAGCTAACAATTTCATGGCACTTTTTTGTTCCTTTGTACTTGATTGCATAGAAATCAGCATACATTTGGTTGGTGGGGGGGGTGAGGGAGGGCATCATAAAGCATGATGGAAAAGGTTGAGAGAATTTGCACTTCAATTCATTATAAAGCTATTTTTTTGTGAAATGTTTTCCATATTCAGTCTTAATTCCAGTTTTTCCACATGCTAACCAAAATGTTGCAGAAAAAAAAATCTTAAAGTAAAATTAAACCCAACACCTGGGAGATGATAAACACCAGCTGAATGTAATAAGCATTATTTACAGTATATCCTAAAACGTCCTCCCTTAACTTGTAAAGCTACAGAAACTGTGAGCCCTTTATGCCTCATCCATCAGCGTCTGCTCTTTTTCTCCCCTCACAACTACAAACCTGCTCCTATGCACAAATGACACAGCATGGAAAAAAGGAAGAGCAAATGATCAGACAATTACAGAGAGAACAAAACAAGACATTTACATTCGGGGAAATTTGAGAAAGCTGTGTTAAAATGTGATGAGAAACGGAAGGAAGGAATGCTGTTTTGTTTTTGTTTTTTTTAATTCTGCTTTAAATGCAAAAGAAATACTTTACAAGCAGGAGTACTCTTAGCCACAGCTTTCTCTGATATTCTCCGTTTTGGTGTCCCTGAATGCTGCGTTACCTCCATTTGCTCCTCTGCTCAATATGAATGCAGATGTGTGTGTGTGTGTGTGTGTGTGTGTGTGTGTGTGGGCACGAGTCCCTGAATGACAAAACAGTTGAACAAAACCTTCTAGTCTAAGTGTTTTTCATAGGGATCTGATCTGCAGTGGAAGATCTGCAGGAGAGATTCCTTTGTGCGTTATTTTTTTTAATATTTTTTTTTGTACATATCCCATTAAGCCATTTTAGTGTCCCGCTCTGAATATGTGTATGCGTTTGATTAAGAGGCAGCGCAGCACAACATGACGGGACCTTAAGAGGTTTGTGTTGTCTGCACCAACAGGGGGGAGGGGACAATTTAGCAGGAGATTTCAGTGGACTTGGGCGCAGACTGGTCTACGTTGTTGTTGGCCGTGCCGTCAGTGTGGCCGTGTTCGGTTGTGTGGCTGCGGCTGCGACTCCCTTCGTTGGTGTGCGAGCGAGAGCGGTTGCCATCGTGGGTGTGGGAGCGTGAGCGGTTGCCGTCGGAGGTGTAGCTGGAGCCAGAAGCGGTGCGAGAGCGGGCCAGGCGGGTCATGCTGGCAGCAGGCACTAAGGAAGGAGAAGTTGATCAGAGCAGATCTTATTGATACTAGGAACTAACATTCACTTTTGGTTACTGGCAGTCATTTCTTTCTAGTTATTTTTTTGTCCAAGTCAGGAATGCGTCATATTGTTTAACTTAAAGAATCAGACTGCAATAAGAGTGTTTAAGCTTATATGCATTTGAATTTTCATTTATCAGTGAATCTAAAGAAATTAATTTAAAGAAATGGGTCAACTTATAAAACAGAATGAAGAATAAAGTGCAGACATTTTTATGAACTAGGCAGGTATTATACATTTTAATCTAAAGTTAGTAATTTGATTTTGTTTATGAACAGATAGTTTATCCATTGAACTTTTTTTTGTTTGTTTGTTTTTTTTAAGATTTCATGGTTAAACTAATGGGGGGGAAAAAACCTGTTTAGAAACAATAAGATGACCCATTAGCAAAACCTTGATCTCACCACAAGGTGGCAGAAGTGCCTTAAACAGGGAGAATTATCAGTATTTTTTATTCCAAGATCAAATGCCTGCAGTGCTAACATGTATCTGATAATAATTGAACTTTATTGATCTCATATTGGAGAAATTTACCTCTGCATTTAACCCAGCCCCTTGGGGAGCAGTGGGCTGCCATCGTTGGGCGCCCAGGGAGCAGTGTGTGGTTTAGGGTCTTGCTCAGAGACCCAGAGTGGCAGTCTGGGAGGGGGGCTCAGAACCTCAGGATTCCAAGCTCTATGCCCTAACCACTAGGCCGCCACTCCCCCTGGTCAAATAGTTAGAAATACCTAAACACCCAAAAATGTTTTATTGATTACTTACTGTGTCCCATTCCCTGAATGAAGTACTTGAAAGCTTCTGTCAGCTTTGCAGGCTGCAGGGAGGAGCACAAACACAGATTATCAATCTCCATGTCATAAATAATCACTCAGTTTTAAGATCATCAACACGCTCCTTCCCTCCAGCCAACAGCTTACTGCGATATGACAGCTGCTACAAGCAGGTGCAGCTAAGTGTGCTGGATTAAAACCTGATAAGTGTGGTCCATGTCTGCTGCTTCTTAATGCTCTTATGTGCCACCTTCTTACACTCCCTCCCCCCCAGCCTGACAATCTGCACTCCTTATCCAACTTGTCCTGCTAAGAGAACATCTATCTGAAAAGCAAGGGGACATACCTGATCGATTTGGGGCATGCCTCCACAATCCGCCATCTGGAACAAGACAGAAAAAAATGAATATTGAGCCACATCCCCAAAGAAAAATACATATACATCACACCCATTCTGACCCAGTCCCCCATGATTCCTCTAAAATAGTGCTATAGAGTCTCAATGGTGAACCTATCATTCAGTTCAGCAGCCATTTGATCTTGATACGCCGATAAAAGGTTGCCAAAGGCAAACAGAAGTAGGTCAGTTGATGACAATCGCACAGGCAAAGTGCGAATGCAAGGACATGCTCAGCAGTGGCACCTCTGGTTAATATGTCACCAAGTAAGTGCTGACCTGCTGGAAACTTATCAGCTAAAGCGTTTCCACCAAGGCTATTATAATCTTTATGTGAATATGGGACAAGGAGGTCTAAAATGGGGACACGAGTGGAACAAAGAACAGGACACAACTCACCTTAAGAAGGGTTGTTTTGGTTGGGTCTAGCTTAGTGTTGCACTCAACCTGCAAGAACAAACGGGTCCGATTAGAAAAAAAATAAAAATAAAAAAAGTCCCTATAGTAACGTCCATAATGAAAATGTGACAGCAAATATTTTCCCCCTTTCATTAATGCATAAATATACGGGACTGCAGACAATTCCTAAGCAACAAGTAAACCCAGTTACACAAATCTCTTGACTTTAGGAGATTAAATCTAATCTGAGTCACTTGATCTGTGTTCCTGGAGTCAAGTTCAAATGTGGTGATAATCTATGTAAACTGGCATATCTTCTCCCTTTAAACAGAAGGCTGCATTGGATGGAAAGCACGTTCAGGGTGTGATCTGTTTCTAGTTCCAAGAACTAAAAGCCATGCTTTCAATTAGAAAGTGAAGAGCCTGAACCCACCACAGCATCCACAGCAGGAGAATTGTCCCCAACCACTAGCAGAGAAGGACACCTGGAAAAACAAAGAAACAAAAAAAGCATTTAAAAATCAGCCATAAACCATCCCTTCCTTTATGTACAAACAAGGTACCGGTAGGTGCCCATGCTTACTTAAGAGTTCTGGCATTAATTCCAGGTACCGGCCTCTCAATATCCAGATCCCTCCGGCTGGAACAAGAGAAAGAAAATTAGCATCCCAACATGTTAAAACCTTTGAGAGTCATTTTTTTCCTGCTGCCTCACCTTTCATAGGACTTGACGAAGAGATGAAGGTTGAACTGGTTCATGTCGTTTAAGATATGGTGGCGGTATCTACCAATCAGTTCATGGTTGTGGCCGATCTCCTCCTTTAAAGAAAGCATAAAAATAATAATTACACATTTTAAATCCAGAATCTACCCTCAACCACGTTAGATTATAATTAGATGTATAGATAAATGAATATAAAATGGTGTACCTTTCCAAAGAGGTGGGAGATAATCATATCAGGCTCAGCATGGGTCCAGCCACTGATCTAAAAAACAAAAAGTTACAATGAATCTTCCAATGGTAGACAGGCAATGCTGTTCAATTCTCTTATGAAGAGATTTTAAGCCATTATCAAGAGGTAAGGATGTAAAGGTGAGCGTTTCAAATGTGATACCATGTTGCATCACTAGCAGAGATTTTTATAAATACATGTGGAAAAAACAGTTATTGATTTGCCCTGTTGTAATGACAAAGTCGGTTACATTAAATAGTAGACTGTACTGTTGGAAAGCAGTTGGCGCCACTTTTGAAATAATAACCCATTATTTTTGGATATACTCTATAATCCTAAATGACACAGATTCTATACTGAATGAAAAATACTTTAAAAATAAATAGTAAAATAATAATAATTTTATCTATAAATCTTATATCCCAGTTGCCAAAACATTGAGGAAGCTTTGTCAGAGTACTTTTTAAATTCTTTTTTCTTAGACTCATGGACAAGTCAAACCTGGATATGAATAATTCAGAGAGATCCTGGTTCTTATCAATGTAAAAAAAAAACATTTTATCTAGTATCTGAGCTTCTAATGAAAATCCAAATCCTTAAACTATTTTTATAGCCTTCTTGGATATGGTACCTTGTGGGCAGCCCAGTCCATCCATCCCTCAGCACATGGGTTGATGTTGATCAGCATGACACCTTCCATCATATTCGGATAGTCCAGCTAAAAGAGAAAAGATCATTTTGAGCTTGTGCTTTAAATCCTTCAGGTTGTGCTGCTCCAGTGTAGTTGAGGTTCATTTTATGAGGCATGTCAACTCATGCCGTTATCCAAAATATTCAACAGTGAGACTCCAGTAAGTATTCTGTAAAAACTGAGGCTTCAAAAGGGTTAGAGTTGAGCTGATCTGGTAAATTCCTCAGGCTTTTGTAGCTCAGATGGGCTAAGTCAACAAGTGGCCTTTTAAGACCAAAATAATCAAAAAGTAGAAACACAAACTGTTAATCCTAGATTAATTAAAACCTGAATCATGAAGCATGCAGAGGAGGGTGAGGTGTGAACTTACAGCAAATCGGGTCAGTATGTAGGCGCCGGCTCCAATGCCCATTCCAATGACGCTCTTCAGACTGTGGTGCACAAAGACAGGTGGATACTGTTAGAACAACTTGTTAGAGGATTCCTGACAAACAGCAGTAAGAGGTTCATTGGTAAGCTGAAACTCAACTTACCCAAAGTGCTTGAGCACCAATGGGAGGGTCTCAGCCAGCTGGTCCATAGAGGGGTACTCATACCTTGAAAGCATAAAGTTAAATCTACCGTTAAGCTTTTTACATTTATTGCTCCTTATCGGAAGGGCACCACTATTAATGTTTTACTTTTATGCCAGGACGGCATGGCTGAGAGACAAAGTACCAACAGAGCAAGAGATTACAGAGATGATCATTTGCCCCAGTGACACACTTGTTAAATCGGTTTGTCCCAAATCCATCCAAAGGAATCTATCAATCTACCCAGTTAAAACTCGGACTGAATGATAGGGCACAGTGTGGGTTTGCTGCCTCACCCAGTGGAAAAGGTGTTGGCTCCTTCATGTTGCCCGAAGGCATCGACATGACAAACAGCAAAATGCTGCATGATCTCTGCCATGTCCTCATGGTTAAAGAGCGCGTCCCAACAGGTCTTGTCTGCATACAAAAAACAGGAGGGCTTATTAGAAGGGTGGGATTTGCAGTTTGTTTTTTTTTCAATGAGGAATAACACATGGTGTATCTGGTTACATGATCGGTAACCTTGAAAGAGTTTAGACTCCAATGCAACCGTGTTTGCCCCATTATGCATCAAGGTGCCCCATACTGCATCAAGAGACACCAGGATTTTCAGGTTTAGAGCCACTACTCATCATGAGACCGGTTCTACAGTTTAAAGGGGATTTTTTTATGAGATAACAGAAAACGCTGTAAATCACTGGCAGTCTGTAGCAACAACACTCCTTCCCCACTAGTTGCTCCACACTTCCTGTAACTACTTAACGTTTACCTCTCTTTAAAGCAATTTTCCAGTTAAAGCTTAGACCCAGTTTAAGAGTCAAATTAAGTTTGAATAGAAACTTTGCAACCTTAATAACAACATTCAAATAAAAACTTTATCACCTTATGTGTGAGTTTTTTGGTTATTTGCATACAAGTGTCCCAACTTCAACATCTTTACCACAGAAGAGAAAAGAGTAAGCCTTATAAACATCCCTGAAAACATCCGCAAGCCCAGGAAATCTGTGTCATCTAGTCGGTTTTACATTTTCCTAAAAAGAGCTTGTAGTTTATGAGAGAAAAATGTTTTGATTTGAATTACCACTCAGCAATAATCTAGTTTAACAAGCAGTTACTTTTTATAGCTTTGCAGGAAATACTACATACATTAACCAGATCATAAAACTTATAGTTTAGAAATCTCTGCAAAACCAACGTCTACAATTCAAATATAGCAAAAAAATTTAAATGAAAGGCATGAAAAGATCCAATGGTCAGGAAAATTGAGTTTGCCAACCACGATGAAGCCATTTGTAATTATTTAAGATTTTGATTTCTTCATGATTAAAATTCAACAGACTGATCATCTTAATATGTGTAACTGTTTAAATATACAGTTAAAAAAACCGCAAACTTTCAGTCAGATCTACATGGGCAGCACAGGCCTACATCTAGATAATCTGATCACATATGGAACAGTCATTAAAAACCCCACCAGCTTTATTAACAGCCGTTTCATCCAGATGAAGCTAAAGAAGGAGCAAGGCTTACGGTTCAGGCCGATGTCATGGAAAGTAAGGATGACTGGTCTGTCTCCTTTGGGAGCCCCCTTCATTGTGCAATGGAGTCTTCCATAAGGAGTCTCAACATCATGCTCCTATAGAGAGAAAAAAAAAACGATTTATTCTCTAAAAGTCAGGATGAAAAGTTTCAAAGTTACTTTGAAAGAAAATTTCCAAAAAAAGAAAAAGGTGAATATTTTTCAGTTTCTATTTTGCTTTAAAGTTTTCACTTATCCTCGCAAAATGAGTAGAATTAAAAGAATTCAAACCAAGACCTTCCAACTGTTAAAGTCTAAACTAAAAACCATCCAGACTTTACTTACACTGACTTCGATCTCATCAACCATCATTTCCACATCAGAATCCTCCAGAACCATGTTTGCAGGTCTCGAGTCCTAAGACTTCTCTATTTAAAAACTGCAATCACGCAGGCTCCTTCTGAGCTACAGATCTCCACACTTGGTAAGCCTCTAAAGTTTTTCCAGCCCTGTGCCATGAGCTGCGTTTTATACCCTCGCCGCTTAACGGTGTGCCTTAAGCTCCCCTGCCTCCCAGGGTGCCTTGCAGGCTGGTCAAAACAAGCTAATTCTAGATGAAGACATCCTTAAATTGGATCAACCAGAGAGGGGCAGCTGACAGGGAACGGAACATGAGAAAGGATGGGTTCATGATCAGAGAGGAAACATGAGGGAGAAATGACTGCTGCCATTACTCAGCAAAATATTGGAATAAGTTTTAAAATTAATACAAGCACATAAAAAAAAATTAAAAAAAAAGACTGGAGGGTATAAAGAGGGGGAGTTCTCTTGAATACTGTTTATATAGAGGTATAAAATATCGTCCAAACTGAGAAGCAAAATGAAATTATCGCGATTTTCTTCCAAAAAAACGCCTACTTTGATGACTAAAGGAGAAAATTCCAATATATAAAAAACATAATACTTTGGGGGAGTGACTTCAAAGTTTTGTTTCTCAGAAGAAATTAATTGCATGTACTTTAGTAAGAATTTCCAAGGACATGCACATCCCATGTACAGGATGGGACAAACAAGAAACCACACATCTTGTTCCTCCCACCCCCTCCACCTTTACGGGACCTGCTCAGGCACGTAGGCAGGATAATCCCTACACATGTGGAAGGCTGTAACTGCACACCTTTCAGTTCACCTGCATACCCTGACATCTCTATAAAAATCTATCAGGGTAAAATACCGCTATGAGACAGAAAATTTGGCAAATGCATGCAGCTTTGATACTGGGGCCAGTCAGCATGATGTTTAAGGCCTAGATACTTTAAGTGATCAGACCAATTAGAGTCCCCTCAGAGGATTTCAGTATATAGGAATTTCCCTCTTCATGCAGACCCCTCCCCTGGGGTCTCAGAGGTCAAAGTGCAGAGGCTGAGAATGGGTAAAGGACTGAAGGCAATTTCCAGTTCAGGGAAAATGTTTTTGATTGTGCAGCATTTGTTTGTGATATCATTATAGGCTTCAGAAACAGGACAAAGGACATCAAAAGTTCTTTTTCCATAATTCTAAGAATTCTGCATATCTTCTGAACAGGTTTTTTTTCTCTCTTCAAAATAGCTCAAACACTTAGGTTGATTGGGAAATGGTTGCATTAAACTTTGGTCTTTAACTAGGCCTTTCTGATTCATCAGTATGGTTTTATCTAAACATACCTTGGGCTGCATGTTTGAGTAAAGGTTTAACCCAGGCACCATCTGGAATCATCATATTTAGCTTCAACTATCTTTTTAATCAAATTAAACGCTTCCCTGCCCCCCATGCAAAAAAAAAAAAAAATACCTTTATGCTACCGGCCTGACAATTCACTGTCAGACTTGAAGTGCAGCTTTTGTTTTCCCACACGTAAAAAAAAAAAAAAAAGAAAGAAAAATAAAATGTTCAGAAAGGTCAGTTTTGGTCTATAGAGAACAACTTCCTGTCATTTCCCCTGCCAGATGTTTCCCAAAGGTGGCTTCTTATACCAGTCTCCTCCACAAAAGTTTTACCGTTAATGATTTATACACAGCAAGAATTTGAACTCTGAACAAAAACACTGTAGTCTTCACAGAATCATAAACATTCACAACCAGAAAAAACACAGTATAAGAAACGGCATAATGAAGCATGACATTACTTCAATATGCAAATAGCTGCTGCTTAAATAAAGTTTTAGCAACAGAGTACCAGTAATATTGCCATACATGTGCATTTATGAAACCTTACCTTGACAACAAGTTGCTGCACAGCCTCTCTCAGGCCCTGAAAGGAGAAAATGGAGTAATGAAAACATACACTTAAATCATTTACATAATGTAATTGAATACCGTAGGGCCTAACACGGTCACTGAATGCAGTTGGTCTTTTAATGCCATGTTAAAGATAACAGGAGTCAAACAAGAGGTTTTATGGGGCTTAATACTTGATTAATCTCCCAGTATTCTTCCACACAAATTCTTATCAGTTCTAATTTCTACTCTTTATTTTTTCTTGTGACCATTTAAGACAATATACAGCCTTTTTTTAAATGCGTTTTTATTATTCTTATGTTTGCTGATCAATTTAAACAAATGGCGTAGAGCTTGACAAAAATCTTGCACCTTCTTTTGCACCTTCTGTTTTTTTAGAGCTGATGTCACAAGGCCATTTCTCCATTGTGAGATCAATAAAGTCTTATCTTAAATCAGAATTACACATAGGCTGGTCAGCATTAGAAACTAGGTCTACGATTTCTTGTAATGCCATTTACGGTCCAGATTCTAGGAAAGGTATTGATGTTTTCTCCTAGTTTTTAGAAGCCCTCCATCTGTCGTAGTAAAGCAATATTGTTTTCTTATTATGTGTGTTAAGCAAAGACTGCAGAATGAGCATCTTAACGGACCTTTGGACCACAACCATATCAGCTTGTGAGACCTTCACTGTCCCTCTGTTTGAAAAGAGGAAAAACGTCACAGAATTTTAGTATCTTCAGCCCACTAGATTCGAATGGTTTTCATTACCATTTACCATTATGTTTAAGCATAAAACATGTATTTAAAAAAAATGTCAGAACTTCTATCATCTTTATTCCCAAAATCTGGGTTATGACCCTATTTGGGGTCCTTGATCAACCAAGGTCTTGAGTTCTACTACAGGAATTAGAGTAAAGAAACATTTATGCTAAATTTTATATGGTTATAAAAGGGTCCCTTATAAATTGACAAAATAAAAGCGGTTGCTGATGCAGCTTGTAATATAACATTGCTGGTTAACAGATTTTGTAAAAACAAATGTTTGTATACCCAACTAATAGTTTGGATCATGATTCACCTTTGGTAGCATTCTGTGGGTCAGATGCTGAATAGTTTGGTCATCTCTGATCCCAGAGTCCATAGGGACAATAGCTGCATTTACTTTTAGGCCAAATTTTAAAAAGCCATTAATTTAGGAGACTTGGATATAAGATAACCATGACAGTGCCATATTGACACCATGATGACTTCCTCTGTTATCAGTTTTCTAAAGTCCTTCCCTTGTGTCAAAGTTAAAAACGGGTGTTTGTTGTATTTAGTATTTAGGCTAGATTTTGAATTTAGGAGCAGTATGTATGGGGCTCTTACTATACATGAAGATGAGGAATGTGGAATTTGCAACAATTTCCAAAATGTAATTTATTTGTATACTGCAATTAATACAACAAATTACTGCTCCCAAGTCTCCAGATGGCCCCATTCTTACACAGTATAAGCACACAAATTTAACAGCATGCCAAATGCTGTAGATCAGCAGTTTGTTTTTAAACTACATTTTAAATCACATATTGTCACAAATAATGATTTAATGGATTGTGTAACCATAAATCAGAGGATGGTAAAAATGTTTGCTTTATTAATTTTTAGCCATACAGGCCTATCCCAAAACATTACTTTCTAAATGAGAATTCATGGAAATGAATTGGTTTTAGCCAACATACCGGTAGTTCTCTGTCAACCAACAGGGGTTTGGACTCAACTTGGATCTCATCCATTTCAGATACCTGCAAAGCCTAGGGAGTCAGAGAAAGGAGAATAATTAGCCAGGTTCAATGTGCCCTTCAAGGTTTTCTGAAGCTTAAGGTTAATGGAAAACCAAAGCTCCCTTTATGAGAAGTAATTTGGTCAAAGTTCACATCCTTTTGAACCAAAAGAAAATGGCATCTTATAATCACATAACTAGAAAATGACTTCTTGAACATTTGTGTTTTTCTTATCCCTATGATGCCGAATCTCAGGTGGAAATGCATTAAAGTTGTGACCTGCACCAACATGTGAATCTTGCAGACAGAAGCGAACCACACCCAGGAACTCAACAGCACAAACTCAGGCTGCCTGTAAAACCTGGCAGATAAGGCTCATGCAACTGGCAGACAAAGAGGAAATCCAGCGAAGAGGGTAATGTGATCTTAACAACTCAACCCCCCACAGAACTTGCTTGAAGGCAGCCATAATAAACTCCTGCAGATGATTGGAGGAACTTGTGGCGGACTTGGGTATTAATTTCAAGAAGGTTATGGTCTCCCTGTGAGAAAACCAAGGGAGTCTTTATCTGGAGCATTTCAAGTATGGAAAGAGGAAGACTGACTAAATAAAAAGAAGGAAGAAGAGAGGTTAAGCTTAGCTGATCGCTCTGCTTTGTTGGAGTAGAGAACATGCAGGCTGTGACTCTGCATGCAAATCAAATTAGTTTTAAAAAAGGACCCTTTGTCTACTGGGTTGGTCATCTCCTGAGGGTCAGAGAGGAGATTGACCTCTTTTCTCTACAGCTGAAGGGAGGCAACACTGACCAGGACTCATCCACATTCACAGGAAGCCACAGACACTCTGGTTCCCAGTCTTAGACAACTCTATGCACTTTCCTCTGGCTCTGTTTGCTCTTTCTAGTGTGACGCAAAGTTCTCCGTGTTTCGACATCCAGAAAGCTAGCCCAGCTCTGAAACTATCAGGAATTCCTCAAAGCATAATTGCTGTAAAAAAAAAAAACTGATTGATCACGATTCAGTTCCAAAAGTATCTCAAACATCTTCCAAGATGCCCACATGCTCCACACTCACACACAATAAGAAAGTGCTGCATCCAGAACCAAAGCCAGAAGAAGCAGAGTGTCAAACAACAGGTTCATTTGTCCACAGAGCTCAAAAACAGGACCACCGCTGTACTGCAGGAGCTTTGTTAAAGAGGGCAAGACATCGGCCCCCGCTAAGATTCCTCAGTCATGTGAGAAAGGGAAGCCACACTGAAAGACAGGGCAACTGTTATGGCCTCTTTTCTGACTAAAAAGGTAGATGAACGACCAAAACAACAAGGAAAGAATTACAAGAAGAATCAAAATTAAATAACCAAGAAAGAAGTCACCCACCCTTCAAACGCCCACAACACCTGTTTCCTTAATGCATGGTTCAGCTGGCAAAGAAAGGTGCATGAAGTAGGCCTATGGAGAAACACCAAGCTGCCACTAATAGATAAGGCATATCATTTGTTAATTAATTGGCTTCGTTAGGTGATCAAGTGGCCAATTTTTGAAAACATGATTCATTTACTAAAAAATAAAGACAAACAGCTCCCACCATTTCCAGCTTATGAATGCAGCAACAGAAACCCTATATTACTCCTCATGTTCTCTGTTCCAAATAAAAAGCTTCACATGTGCTTTGATGAGGAAATAGGATAAAACACATTTAGGCCTTGTCGAATTAAAAAACATGTCTATCTATTAAATTTTATTCACTTTTTCATCGAAATGAGCAAAAACGAATTTTGGCCAGTTCAGCTTTGATCTTACGATTAATTTTTAAAGACAAAATAACAAATAGCCCCAACTGTTATATCTATTTTTGTTGGGAGAGAAAAAAAATAAAATTTGCATAACTTCTGGCTACCTTCTACCTTCTGTGTAACATTCTATTCAGAGGCAGAATGATTGCATTGTGTAAAGGAAGCTTTTCCTCTAACATTTCGATGCAGACGGTCAAACCTGAAACCAGGACTTTTCCGCCATGCAGAAACATATTTAGGGCATAGATCAGCAGGTCACTTTAAAAGCAAAATAACAGTTAACTTTAAGCGATAACATTTCCGTAAAGCTTCAGGCAGAAGTATAAGTTGCTTATGCAATCATGAACAGGAAGCAGTGGGAGGATGTGTCTAGGATGAGCCAAAATGTGGCCCTCAACAACCAGATACTTTCACAGAACCAGCCGGCACACCAAAAACATCTTTCCAGGACTTTTTAGTTATTTTTTTTCTAAAAATGTAAAATCAAATAGCATTTTGGTGTACCTCTTCCCAATAAAACGCAGTGGCTAAAACCCATTAACTACTAAAGTCTATAATCACTTCAATGCCTATTTTCTAGTTTTAAATGCAGAGATAAAAACATGGGGATTTCAACATCCCATGGCAGAAACCACCTGGATCTCAAACTTCAGGAAAACACATCAATTCAGTTTTAGATTGGCAGAATCAAGTGTTTCCCTGTAGCATGACATTCACAACCCCATCAGCAGAAACATTGATTGCTTCTCTAATCTTTGGGAACTCACTTAATCTGTCAATCCCTAGTTGGGAAATATCAGCACAGGACTCAACTGTGGGATTAAGCTGCTCTAGACCTACATTTCTGACAATAACAGATAAACATTTAAGATAGGGACACTTTGGGGATGTCCAGGCCGGAAAGTAAAGCAAAGGAAATGAGGAAACATGACAGCAACAGCTGGTGTTTTTTCATGGTGTGGGTCCTCATCTTTAAGCCCACCACAGCTTACAACTTTTTAAACAGTTGGATGAGCTCTTCCAAGCCAGAGAAGACTGGATTAAGCTCCATGTCAACATTTGAACTGCCTGGAAATGTAAACAATGAGACGTGGAGTGCCTTTAAAATGTATTTATATGTTTTTTTAATCCAATAATCCCAGTCCAGTTCCTACTCCAGCGCCCTTTATTTTAAACCCTTGTGCTTGCTTTGGCTGTCAATATTGTGGGTAAATTATAATAAAGAAAAAAAAAGCCCATCCTTAAAATAAAGAAAAAACTCCAAGTATTCTGGGTGGGCGCGTGCCCTCAGTGACACGTGTGAAATGGGACCATCCGCTTTAGTCGTTTTTGCAACAAACTAACGCGCATTTCATTCCATACCTGCAGAAAAGTAACAGAAATGCAGACTGAAAGTCATCAAACACAACATTTTAATTATTTACTAAACAATGTATGCGAAAAAAAAACGGATGTGCACGCAAGATAAAATAAATAAAAACAAAAATAAAGCTTAAAGTAACCGTATTAATTTCCTTTTTATTTATAAAAAATGTCTAACTTCGTTTTCCAGAAACCAATAGTAACCACAACGTGGTCAGATGACATGCAGCGAGCCCAATCCGAGAGAAAAGGTGAGAAAAAGCTAAGTTCCGTTTAAAAGTTAGTTGGTTTAATGAACCTACCTGTTGCCTCAAATTCTGATTGTCCCGAATCAAACAGCAAACACAAAAAGTCAACTAGAACTACCCGTCTTTTAAAAGGGAAGAAGGTTTGCCTTTGTTTATAAAGCTCAGCGCATGCAAGGCGGATGTAGGGGGGGGAATTTATAAAGGCTGGTGGGGGGAGTGTGCAGCCCTGCCCACTTCTCTACACCACTGTGTCTATTGGGCAACAGCAGCTGAGGGATTGCTGCTCTTTCCAGCGGTTTGCATGAGGGAAAGTGCTCGAAATGTTACTCTTCTGGGTTCTACATTTCCTCACTATATATATTATTAAAAGTATACATTTTAGAAATGAAGTTCAGTTGAAGAGCAAATTAAGCTTTTTGAAAATAGCCTTGCTTAAATGATCAGATCACTTCATTTTTGAGTGTCTTTCAACCGGCCTAATTTTTAGGGCGTGGATTCTTGAAGTATCAGCAGCTGAAAATTGCAAAAATGTGTTTCAGACACCAGATCCTCAAGGGTGACTGTAAGGAATGCTGCCAGAATAACAGTCTAGTTTCAAGCCAAGACAAGTCTGTACAAAGGGAAGCCCTTCCTTCACCAATCTTAATTTTTTTTTTTCCCCCTCTCCTTGACAGTCACCTACATACAGAATTAGGTCAAAGCAAGTCTACAGCTATTCTGTGGACAGTTATTGCCCTCACAAATAACATAAATCAGATATCCAATCAGCAGTTACGGCTCCTTTGCAAAAGTATTAATGTCATAAAATCTTTTACGTTTTATCGCCTTAAACCGTGATTTTGAATCCATTCCAAAACTGAAAAGTGTGGCCGACATATGTATTTAACACCCTGTGATAAAAATCAATTGGAACCACCTTTCTCAACATGTCATCACAAAATACAGGCCTGATTGTGCTGTAATCTCTGAATAAACTCTACTGCTCTGCTCTAAAAGCTGCTCTATGAATAAAAGATTCTTAAAGGGTTTGTTGAGGAACATTAATGAAAAAGTGGAGGTCTGGCAAAAAGCTAAGAGTTTAGATTATACAACAGAAAATTGTAAAGAGCACTGCTCAGTCAATCATATGAAAATGGAAAGATAATTAAGCGGAAAGCAAAAAATAATGGGACAGACTACGGTAAACAAGGTAAGCATTGAGGATTGAAATTGAGATATCTCTAAGGGAGCAACAAAGAATCTGTTGGCCTGATAACAGTGGATGTTGCAGTCAACAAATCTAAGATCCATTAATAGAACAGCAAAAAGAGGGTTGTTGTTAAAATACATTTAGAATATTTATTTATGGAGAAGAAACATGCCCTTGGAAGAGATGCTTTGGTCAATTTTTAGTTGAAAAAATTATTTAATTGAACATATAAGTACATTTTTGGAGAAAAGCTTAACTTTTTACATGATCCTGAAAACACAATTCCCACTATGAAATACGATGGTGGCAGCATTATCTGATAAGGATCCATTAATTTTGAGTGGGGATGACGAAGCTGGCTTGAGTTGATTTAAATGTTGATGTAGCTGAATACAAAATAGTTTTGTTGGAAACCTGTTAGAGGCAATTGAAAAAAACTAAAATTCTGAAAATGAAATGAAGGTTCACCTTACAGCATAGGAGCAACCGTATAAGCAAAGTAAGACTGACAAGGGTATGATTTACATCAAAGTATGCCATACTCAGGCGTTGTGGTGACAAGGTCACCTTTGTTTATAGATGTTGGAGATTGGCATGTTTTTCAGTGTAGCCCTGTTTCTCTGACTGTGACTAGCTGGATGTGCTCTCTTCGGTCGATGCAATCAACTGGTTTTCCTTAGATAGAAAACTTTGAATCAATTTGACTGTATGATCTGGTGAAATGTAAAGTGCTTTGAGATGAAATGTGTTGTGAATTGGCGCTATAGAAATAAACTGAACAGAGCTAAAATGAATTTAATTGAAATGAAGGTCAAGCTAAAGAGCTTCATTGAATTCAAGATCAGTTTTCCCATCAAATATGACCGTGTGTCATTTCCCACAGGGGGAAAGGCAAAACTTTCAGGATCTAGATAACTTGCTGCTGTCATGTTGGAAAAAAACAGGTTCTACAACATTTTCACTCACAAAGGCTGCTCACTTTTCAAACTTTATTAGTAAAGCATAAATACAAATCCCTTTCTTTCCACTTCACATTGATGTATTGCTCTTTTATCCAGCTTATGAAAACCCAATAAAATACACAGGGGTTTGTGGTTGTGACATGACAAAATTCAGAACAGTTCAAGGGTTATAAGTGCTATCACCAGGCGCTTTAATGCCAGTGCAGAATGCCCTCATAAGTGGTTTTGCCGTTGGACAACAAAGGTTGCAGGGGTCATCAGAAACCTGAACACTAACCTTTTTGGAAAATGCATACACCAGCATTTGTTCAATTGTTTACCACCCAAATCCTTCATTTTTGACCAAGTGACCCTGCAGAGTTGGACTCTTCATGGAAATTTCCACACCTGCAAGAAAGCCACAGAGAATCTGCCAATAAGTGCTAGTATTGGCAACCAGAGTGTGAAAGGTCCTTGTCTGGACACAATAGACGCAGTGTGAGGTTGTAATCTGAGGCCTTCAATAGGAACACATCAGACAATGGGAGCATTTGAAGGGGGACATAGCCACACGGCTAATCATGTATCTTTTCACTAGAGATCACAAGCTGCAAACGTAAAAAAAAACAAAAAAAAAAACAGGCTTTTAAAGGCTTCCAGAAACTAAAGCAAGCAGCATTTATCTGTTGCACAATGTCTCATAAACGCAACAGACTTTAGCCTGGTAGATAAGTGTAGGAAAGACTGGACGGCTTTGCCCACAACCTTTCTACTGGGGCACCAGCCTTTAAAAGTTTTAATTAATACTTTATCTTGACCTTTGTGTTAATAACAGACAGATAACAAAGAAAATAGCTCAAGGACACAGCATGACAGACCTGACACAAACTAAAGGATAAAATAGATTTTTAAGCAAATTTTCAAAACCCAGAATAAATAGACTTCTCAACTCTTTTTTTGCATTTCTAACATTAAAACAAATTCTTAATAGGTCAGTTAAGATAACCAAAACTACTTTTATTCATAGTTGGCACTGTTGCATTGTCACCGTAAAGTACTGGTTTAAATCCCAGATGGATCTTACTGTATGGAGCCCCACAGCCAAGAAATATTCATTGTCTCTTTACCTTGCAGCTTATCTGGAGTCGACCTTTATGTTGCCCTGTAGGCCTATCAAGGGTGTAACCTTCTCTCTTTCTACTGATTGCCCCTAAAACCTTACAAGGGTAGGCTGGTGTAAAAAAAATGGATTGCAACAGTAATGGAAGAGGCCATTTTTTTAAAGTCAGAACTGTAATAATCCTTGTTGTTTTGTTTTGTCTTTGCTTGTTTGTTTTCTTGTTTTTCTTTGTAGATTATTTCTGGTATATTGTCCCAATGCTTGCAAAGAATTTTGTTTTTGTTCTATAGGTTTTGTTTTTTTGCATTCCAGAAAAACTCTCAAGTATCTCTGAAACTCCCCTTACTGAATGGTGATCCTTAAACGCTGTTTATGCTTCAATATAAGTGTTTGAACTGATTGACATGTACCTTCAGCCATGTTAGGTACTACATAGAGTTACCACAGTTTTTCCTGATATTTTGGATTATCGATTTTTTTCAGTGTGTTTGAGGTCTTACCTTATAATGCATGGCCCCAATGTTTCTCAAAGTGTAAATCAATAAGGGCCCTGCAAAGACATGACATTGTCTTGTTGGGACATTGTTCACATTGTTTAAAATAAATAAAAAATGCAGTTTACCTAAATAACTAAATATTAAATATAAGAAAAAACCTTCTGAAATATTTTTTTCTCCTGGTTTAAACAATTTGTCATTCGAAATGATTTGGGGAATCATATATTACTTAAAACAGAAAATGTTTAGTCTGATCTAATGACATCTATTTTTCTTTCCTGGATTTTCTATGTCTGCAGTATTGAAGAGTTCCTCTGGCTTCTGTTCTTTATGTCTCCTGTCTCCAGGTAAGGGTATACATGTGTATCTATGTTTGCTTTTCAAGTTCAGATCTGGTCTACCGCTGTTCTTTGCAAACAGAGCAGACAAACATAAGATAAAATGAGAACCTCTGAAAGTCTGAGCCAATCCTGACTGCAGCTGCATTGCAGAGGTATTTATGTTAAACATAATCCGTCCATCTGTCGCTTCCTGAAATCTGTTTTTCTCCTGGGATTTAACCACTGCACACACCCATCCTAGTTTTATTGTTCGTCCCTGAGCTGGATTGAACTAGTCATGACATCCACTGATGCAACAGGCTTGTAAGCTTGTAGTGTGCATGATTCAGACACACATGACAAGTGTTGTGTTTTGTCAGTCACGTAGTAAAAGGTGGGTAACAGGAAGTAAATTTGTAACTGCTAAAAACGTGTGCATTGTTTTTTCTTTCAGCGATATGCATGACAACACAGGGGCTTACATCGTCTGGTGATTTAAACTGTAAATGTTTTCCAACACTGTTTTTTTATTCTTCTCCAGGATGTGTTGTCAAGATAAATTATTATACGAGGCTGAGGTCGAGTTTTGCCTCCTGAAGGTCATATCCTGCAACATTTAGAAAGGTTTGCATGTGAAGTGATCTTTTTTTTTTTTTGCTTTATTAAGATTAATTTATACATATACATTTCTAAAAACACTCAACATAATTTCCTAAAGAATTCTTTAAAAAGGTTTTTTTTATTGTGTTTAGTTATGGGCCAAATAAAACAAACAAACGAAAAAAACAACAATAAAACAAAGATTTGTCATGCGGTTGTAAAGGGACCTTATGGGTTGGAAATTTCCTTCAGCCTGACCTGCATTCATTACTGCTTGTCTTAATAAGGTGCAGTAACTGCAGCGTTAAGATTGCTTTCTATTCTCTTCATGCTGATAAGATTGTTACTTATTACCGAAAAAAGGCTTTGTAATGTGAGTGATATATAATCGTCTTTACTGACCTGTAAAACCTTAACAGCACTGTTTGTTTGGTCTGTGAACTGCAGGGTGGAAAGATAAAACGAACTAAAGGTACCAGCTTTGGGATACCTCCCCTTTGCATAATATAACTACATTTCTTAGAAGAA